TTATCTGGAATCACTAACTATACTATTAATAATCAGTAACCAGAGTGTGATTATTACAATAGTCATTGATTTTCCTGTAATTGCCCTTCTATGGTTTGGTTCCTCTTTTCACCTCATAAGAATACTTGTATAATGAAACTGCCCCGGGACTACCTGGTTCCATTTTCAATGGGCTACGTAGTCCCCCAACTGCAACTGTTTTAAGCCCTTAATAAACCTGTTTTAACTTGAAACAGCGTTCAAGTTTTTCTCTACAACAGATTAATTAGAAGTATATGGTTTAATTGCCCAATAGGGATATTCAAATTATTGTTTTGGTCTTGATTTACAGCTTGATTTAAAGGTTGGAATAACCTGAAAGTAGTATTTCAATATGAATATACAGTAAACTTGCAGACTAGAAACCCACCCTTAAAGTCAGCATATGATGAACAATAAACACGGAACATCCCAAACACCACCCCCAGCACCGACCCCCACAACTCACTTCTTTCAACCACGGACACCCCAACGCGGACACCCCTCCACTCGCTACTCAGATCTCCCGACACGACCCAACCCGAAACCCCACGAGCTCTCCCTGTCCAGGGAACCCCCAACAAAGCTCCCCCAAATGATCCTCCCATACCCCATTCCACGAAGGACTCCCACTCGCTTCCCCCAACACCGACGCGATGCGCTCTCCGTGGACCCGAAACACGTCAGGAACCAAAAACTGACCTGACCGATGAACTGTCTCCACCGCCGGAGAGAAATCCCAGAACTCGCTTCTCTAAACGCTTTCTTTCTGTGCCTGTCACCCCGCAGCCCCAGCTCCGCGGCTAACTGGACTCTCACAACCTTTGAGGAGAGCAAAGCGACAAGCCAGCTAGCGACTTTCCAAAGTCCGAAATCTGGCTTTCAGATGTCCCTCTATGACGTAAAATACGCGCGAATCGTTCGCCGACAGGAGCCGGAAACGGCCATTTTCCAACCGACTGCCGTACCGCGGGCAAAGTTGTCTTTCCCACTCCTTAAGCGTGAAAATGACCTATTTTGCTCCACTTCAAGGCCAAGTCAACCACTGGGACACGACTGTGCAAAATTTGCAAAGGGTGCTAATCAAACTGCATAGCTTCTCAGAGTCTTAAGCCTGGCACGCTCTCTCTGCAGACTGGGCGGAGACGATCGCGGACATTCAGGTACGTTGAGCCTAGCAGAAGGGGGAAACGTCCAGCGAGAGCAGCCATTTTGGAGTAATAGTCCGTACAGAGGGAACCCAAGCAACTCTTGGGAGACAACCAGCTGGCATCCCGGGAATGCTTCTGAAAGGACAGGGCTTTTTGTAGGAGGCTGCATTTGAAAGCAGCTTAGTGTTTACAGAAACCGAAGTTGTCTGGAGAAGACGTCGGTCACACACTGGGCAAAACAGCGGGATGAAAACAGCCCTTCTTTTGAGCGGGAGCGAGAACGATGGGGAACACAGCCAATCCAGGCTGGCCTGAGCCAACAGAGAGGGGTGGTTTTTCCATCCACCTGCGCAGAGCCAAAGGCAGGACTAGATTTTTCGTCCACAAAAGTGGGAAATGACAGGAACCAAAAGCTCAGAAAAAGAGACGTGGTTCTGTTTAATATTGAGGCCCCACTGATGAATCGAACTGATAATTTTCCGAAGCCAAACTCGCTCCATCAATTACAGAGCAAAGCTCAACATTTCCACCACGTGCCCAAAACTTTTGAAAACACTTGGTTGAAGCCTTCCAACGAATGGCATTGATCATTCATTCATCCAACAAAGGTTTATAAAGTACCTACTATCAGTCAAGCACTTATACGGCTTCATTAAACATAACAAAGAAAACCCTATTCTCAAATGGGATGAAATCCACAAGTATAGGGGTTAGGACTTACAACACAAATTTTCTGGGGCAAAATTCAATCCATAATAGTTATCAATGATTAATTCCTTCATACAGCAGCACAGTACTCCATGGCATGGACGTACCGTTGGTTTAACCATTCAACCATTGAAGGTTAGATTGTTTTCAACTTTTGTCTATTATAAATAAAGCTGCTGTAAATTGGTTTATAAATTTTTGTGTGGAACTAATTTTTGTTTAGGAGTCCCTGAGTGATGCAAACAGTTAAACACTCGACTACAAGTCGTAAAGATTGGCAGTTTGAATCCACCCACAGACATCTCAGAAGACAGGTCTAGAGATTGGCTTCCAAAAGGTCACAGGCTTGAAACCCTGTTGAGCAGCTCTACTCTGCACACATGGGGTCGCCATGACTCAGAAACCACTCAAGGGCAACCAACAATAAAATTTTCATTTCTCTGGGATAAATGGCAGAGAAATTTATATATATTTAGTATTTTAAGAAACAGCCCAATTGGCCTTTCCCTTCTGTCATGGATTGAATTGTGTCCCCCAAAAATATGAATCAATTTGGCTCATCCATGATACCCAGTACTGTGTGATTGTCCATTTTGTCATTTGCTGTGATTTTCCTACGTGTTGTAAATCCTACCTCTGTGTTAATGAGGTGGGATTAGCGGCAGTTATGTTAATGAAGCAGGACTCAATCTACAAGATTAGGTTGTGTCTTAAGCCAATCTCTTTTGAGATATAAAAGAGAGAAGCAAGCAGAGAGACATGGGGACCTCATACCACCAAGCTGGAAGTGCCAGAAGCAGAGCATATCCTTTGGACCTGAAGTCTCTGTGCTGAGAAACTACTAGACCAGGGGACGATTGATGACAAGGACCTTCCCCCAGAGCCGACAGAAAAAGCTTTCCCCTAGAGCTGCCACCCTGAATTTGGACTTCTAGCCTCCTAGACTGTGAGAGAATAAATTTCTCTTTGTTAAAGCCATCCACTTGCGGTATTTCTGTTACAGCAGCACTAGATAACTAAGACACATTCCATCCCTTCAATCCTGCAACCCACCACCTCTGCTCGGGTGGCATGAGAGAAGACTGAATAGGCAGCTAGGACATTCATCCCCATCTGGCAATAACAAGACTCCCCCAACAGTGTCACTGGAGGCCATATGTGGATCTTGGACTTCCACACCCATTCAGCAGTAATGAAATACCTCTCCCTCCCCCGCCCCCAGGGTGGTTCGAGAGGAGGTTGAGCAGGAAACAGAAATTTTTACCACTATTCAAAGTAAGGTGACCTCCTTCCCCCTCCCCACCCAGTGTCATTGGATGCCACATGGAAAACATCAACTACTACCTGTTCCTCATCACACCCAGGGTGGTTATCAAAAGAGGCCTAGTGCTGAACCCGAAAGCTCACCTCTGCTTAGCTCCCCACTCCCATGTCAAAGTAGGTCAAAGGGGGAACCTAGACTTTCACCCCCACATGGCATTAATGAGACAGTGCCCACCTTACCTTACCAGCACTGCGAAAGAAGAGGCTGTTAAATCAGAAGTTTTAAATAAGATTCATACTCCTAAAACACAAGATGCAAAATTTCCAGGATACCGAAGAAAATCACTCATCATAACAAGACGTAAGAAAAATATTACTGAGAAAAGTCAACCAACAGATGCAAACACCAAGATGTCACAGATGTTAAAATTATCTGACAAGAATTTTAAGTAGCGAACATAAAAATGCTTCAAAGAGCATTCATGAACACACCTGAAAAAGGAAAAACAGAAAATCTCAGCAAAGAAATTGAAGATAAAAAAGATCCAAACAGAAATTTTAGAACTGAAAACTACAATAACAACAACAAAACCCACAATGGATAAGCGTTAATAGCAGAATGGAAACAGAAAAGAATCAGTGAATTTACAAATACAACAGTAAAAATTAACTAATCTGAACAGAGGAAACTGAAAATTTTAAATACAGCTTCATGGGCCTGTAGAACTGTAACAAAACATAGAAAATTGATGTCATTGGAATTCCAGGAGAGGAGAAAGATGGTGAAGGTAAAAAATTATTTGAAGAAATGAAGGATGAAAATTTCCTAAATTTAGCAAAAGACATAAACCTACAGTTCAAGTAATTGTGAAAAATCCAAGCAGGACAAACCCAAGGAATTCATGATAAATTTTCTTCTGCAAACTACAGAAACATTTTTGAAAACGGTAGGAAATCTCTGAAATCCCATGAAGTTGTTGTGATAGACAGAATAATGTCCTCCCAAAAATGGCCAGATCCTAATCCCCGGAACATGTGAATATATTATATAGCAAAGGAGAATTCAAGTAGCAGGTAGAATGAACTATTTTGGGACTACAGAACTTAATTTTTGAATTTCACAGGCTCACATATGAAGAGGAATTATGTCTCAAGGTGAACCCATACCCAGAACTTCAACCATACCTGATATAAATGATTAGTATGAGTTTACAGACTTTTGAATTGACAAAATTTAAATGAGATTTTGAGCTGATGTTGTAATGGGAGTGAGATTTTGGGGATACTGGAATAGGGTAAAGATATTTTTGCACGTGGAATGGACATGAATCATTGGTGGCCATGGTATGGACCATAGTAGACAGAATAGTGGCCTCCCCAAAAAGTCCATGTCCTAATCCCAAGACACAGTAAATATGTTCCATTACATAGCAAAAATTGAAAACAACTCCACCGCTGTCGAGTCGATTTTCGACTCTTAGCGACCCTATAGGACAGCAAAGAACTGCCCCATAGGGTTTCCAAAGAGCCACTGGTTTCAAACTGCCGCCCTTTTGGTTAGCAGCCAAACACTTAACCACTGCACCACCACAGCAAAGCAGACTTAAAATAGTAGATGATGTTAAGATTGCTAATAAACTGATCTTAAAATAGGGAAATTATCCTGTATTATCCTGGTAGTCCCAATGTAATCACAAGAGTCCTTAACTGAGGAAGAGGGAGGCAGAAGAGTCAGTGTCACAGGGAAGACCTGAACAGCCTCTGCCGGCTTCAAAGATGGAAAGGAACCATTAGCCAAGGAATGTAGGATTCTTCCCTAGAGGCTGAAGAAAGAAACACAGCTCTTAGTCCAGTGAGATCCATTTTGGACTTCTAATCTCCATTAACTATAAGATAATAAATGTGTGTCACATTAAGTTCAAATTTGTGATAGTATGTTACATCAATAAGAAACTAATACAGTTGTATTTCCACATTCATTATATTCACTTTTTCATTATAACGCCATTCCTGGTGTTCATAAAAATTTCATTTATTGGAAAAGCATTTCCCAGATTCTAAAGGTATAAAAATGTGATACAGGAGATAAGTTTATGATAGAATTTCCATCATTTCCCTAAATAATGTGTGTAACATGTAAGACATAATTTATTACTGAAGGGGTTGTCACCTTCACTGCATTTGCAAGGTTTACTCCCTGTGAAAATTCCCGATTATGTACTGAGGCCTGACTTCCTGAAAAGGCTGTTCCACAATCACTACATTTTTACCTCCTTGAAGCTCACAGATGTTTAAAGGCTGAGTTCCTGAAGAAAGCATTTCCAAAGGCACTGTATTCATAGGGTTCTGTTCCTGTATAAGTTGACACATGTATAAAGAGCTATGTCTCCCTGAAGGTTTTCTCACCTTCACTGAATTTATTGCCTTCTCTTTTGCATGAGTTTCCTTATGTTTAATAAGGAATGACATGTGGGTAAAATCTTTGCCACATTCACTGCATCCATACAGTCTCTCCCTAGTATGAGTTCGTTGATGTTGAATGAGCTCAGACTTGCTTCTAAAGGCTTTTTCACATTCACTACATTTATAAGGTCTCTCTCCTGTATGAATTCTTTGATGCTTGGTCAGGTCTGATTTAAAAACAAAGCTTCTTCCACATTCACTGCATTCATAAGGCTTCTCTCCTGTGTGAAGTCTCTGATGTACAATGAGGTATGCCTTCTGGGAAAATGATTTACCACACTCATTGCATCTATAGAGTTTCTCTCCAGTATGAGACTGCTGATGTCTCTTGAGCCGGCTCTTCCAAGTGAAGGCTTTCCCACATTCACTGCACACACAGGGTTTCTCTCCCGTATGAATTCTCTGATGTATCAAGAGCAGTGACTTTCTGGAGAAGACTTTCCCACATTCACTGCATTCATGTGGCTTCTCTTCTGTGCTAGTTTTTTGATGGTTATTAAGCTGTGACTTAGTATTACTGGGTTTAACACATCCATGGTATTTAATTCCAGAAGAAGCTTTATCATGCTTCAGGCGGACAGATGATTTCCCGTAATCACTAAATTTATCCGAATCGTTTCTTGCATCTCTTCTATTCTGGGTAACAAAATCTAAATGAGGTTTCAGATTTCCACAATGTGAGTCAACCATATTGTGCCTCTGTGTTGAAGGAACCAGATTTTTGCTTAAACCAAAATTATCTCCAAGTGCAAAACTTTGCAGACATCTTTCCAAACTTTTAAGCTCGTTTTGGTTTTCTGGGTGCTGCTGCATATGGTCAATCGCCCATATTTTTTCTAGGAAAAAGAACAATGAAAACATCCACAATCATTTCAGAGGGAAAAAGACACAAAAATGCCATGGTTTGGGATGGGTCTTATAAGATACCAGTCATAATAATTGTACCCGGTGAAAATGTACCCTCCGAAAAAAAAGTATTATAAAAAACAGGAAAAGAAAAACCAACTACTGTAGAAACAACAATAGATAGTCTACAATGAATAAATATAACGTAGGCTGCTTTCAAAAAAAAAAACCCAAACCTGTCACCATCAAGTTGATTCTGACTCAAAGCAACCCAACAGGACAGAGTAGAACTGCCCCATAGGGTTTCCAAGGAGCGGCTGGTGGATTTGAACAGCTGACCTTTTGGTTAGCAGCCGAACACTTAACCACTGTGCCACCAGGGCTCTGTTTCCAAAACAGAACTTTGCAAAATGGAGAAAGAAGTAGAAATAGAAAAAAAATTACTATTGGAATAGCACAAAAGAAGGCAATTTAACCCAGGATTGCAGGGGATGGATCTGTTCAACCAACAAACATTCATTGAACAAGCTGGTGTTTGAGACATTAAAGTAACTAATACTATCTGTCTTTACGGAACTTTCACTCTAGTCAAGTTAGAAAAATCAACAGGTAAGCAAAGAAATAAGAAAATTACAGAATGTGAAAAATGGTAATAAAAAGGTAAGAGAGAAGTGGTAAGTCAATCTTATATATTCATCCACAAGAGACGGGAAGTTGAGCTGATATCATAGGATAAGAATGAGCGTGTTATGTAAAGAACTAGATGAAGAACAATCAAAAAGGAAAACATGATGCAAAAACCCAAAGGGAAAAAAATTTGGGCATGATTATGAAACCTAAGATAGATGGTGTACTTGGGATACCCTGAGCTTGTTGAAGTAGGACTAGATAAGTTTGGAAAGGTAGGCACTACTGAGAACTTATATATTTTGTAGGAAGACTTTGGTAGAAACCGAATTTATGCTAAGAACAATGTCAGTAAACCACTGAACACTTTTGGTAGAAAAACAAGTTCTGAATTGACCATTTCAAAGTTCACATGACTGTTTTACAGAGAATGAATTGGGGAGATGAAACTGTAAAAGAGAATAGATAGGAGGCTATGGCAGAATTCAGGCAAGAGATAACAGTAGCTTGTGCATGACTAACTACCATGATGATGGATAAACACAGCATACAGGGGGATTGCAACTAATGTCACAAAACAATATGTGTATAAATTTTTGTATGAAAATTAACTTGAGCTATAAACTTTCACCTAAAGCACAATAAGAAAAAAAAACTGAGAGTAAACCAAAAAAAAAAGGCTATAGTCTAGAGGAGAAAAGGAAAGGCAAGGAGGGAGAAGAAAAATATGACTCACTGTCAGAACAAATGCTGGAGGTAGTAAAGAGAAGTAGGACAGTTCCTTGGTATGCAGCCTAATTTTTTATGTAGCGCTGGGGCCATTTACTAAGATGAGGAAGACTAGGGGTGTAGGTTTGGCATTTACAGGGAATCAGGTCCTCCGTTTTGAGGAACATCAAGTTTGAGATGTCACGCCTGGCAGGTGTTTCTGCCTTTCATTACATCTGAATGTGTCTCAAAACACTAGTGTGGTGGTTCTTCAACTGTATCAGTCCAAGCAGAATCACCTAGGAAGCCTTTCAAACTTCATATGCTCAGGTCCCTCCCACTGCTAACAAGTCAGGAACAGAAATTCAAAACACAAAGCTTATAGGTTAAAAAAAATTCTCACATACTCTACACACACTCCTGATTAAAAAAACAAAATAAAAATTAAAAAACAAAAAGGAAACACATAATCCTCCATTCAAGAACAATGTGATGAACAGCCCTAACTCCAGAAAGTTAGGGTCAGAAGATCTAATACTGTAGTTCATGTCACAATAGAACTGCAGTGAAATTAGGGGTACATATGAGTACATTCCATGATGGGGAAAAGAAATTATCAGGGAGAATGGAGAATTTGAGTTTCTCATATAGGAGGTAGGAAATATAGGGCAGCTGCCCTGTTGGCTGAAAAAATACGGGGGATGGAGTACAGATTAGATATTACAAGGGGAAGCGTCAATTTGGAAGTCTCCATCAGAGAACAGAGAGCTTAGAACTGTGAATGCACTGAACTCTGAACATGAGAATCAAGCAGATTAAAAAAAAAAAATGAATCTGGGAAGCCAGGGTTGCAGCATGAGAATAAGTAGATAGAGTTGCCCTGAGATATGAAACGTGTGTGCTTTTTTTAACGAACTAAGCTGAGGTGGATTGTCAAGAAGGAAAATCAACCCTTTCAAAAAGGGGCAGAGATATGAACAAGTAGACAGCAGTGCTGAGTGCGAGGTTATCTGCAGGAGCAAAGTGGGGGAATTTCATAGCCAGGAAGCTGGACAACAGGAAGTGTGACTGCCACAGAAAAGAAGACATGAGGATGCCGGGAAGAATGGAACCAGGCAAGAAATCAAGGTCCTACATAAACAGACTGCGGTCAGACTCAGAAGTGAAAAAACGGGAGACAGAGTCCCTTAATAGCCAGCAAAGAAAAACAGCCCTAATAAAGATCAGAGAGGTTAAAGGAGTTGATTAGATTTCTGAGTCATCTGGTGGTATAAAAAAAGTTCTCTAAACAATGTTTCTAAAGTGTCGACCCTTTACTGACCACCTGGGATTTTATTGTCATCTCTGCCCATTGTCTTGCTTGTTACTCACCTGGACTGCTCTGACTGTGGATTGCTCCCTCCACTATCCATGGTGTTTCTCTTTGCTCCAACTTAAAGATTGAATCTGGTTTGGTAGCTGGGTATCCTGTAAATAGGAACTCACTGAACACTTGGCACCAAATATTCATGCTAGGATAACTGGACAAGATTATATTTCAGCGACCACATTACTTGTAAATTGCTAAATAAAAACCTTTTACTCAGGAGTGGAAGCACACAGTCTAGGGCCAGAGAGGAGAATAGAAGTCTATGACCTACAAAGTTTTAGTCTAAACATTAAGTATTTATAAAGCCCTTCAGATTTCACAAAATGAAAAAGAAAAAAATGATTGATGGAACCCCCAGTTAGCGACCCCGTGATGCTGTCCTTACCTACTGATACCAAGTTGTTGTAGTTCTCCAACATCACCTCCTTGTACAGGTCTTTCTGAGAAGGGTCCAGTAACTGCCACTCCTCCCAGGTGAAACCCACAGCCACATCCTCAAATGATAATGATCCCTGGAATAACACATTCCAATGCAATCTGAGATGGATATCAATATATGATGTGGAAAACACGGACAGGAACATGTTCTGCTCATTTGCCCCATGATAAATTCAGCACACTGCGGTATTTCACCTACCATAGGGCCATGGATTTCCCCTAGTTAGTTCTTCTAAGCCAAAAAAAATACTTAAAAAAAATATCTGCACATATGTAAAAGTATGTGCAAGGTCCCTAGCTGGTGCAAACTCTGTGCTCAACTGCTAACGTTAGGCAGTTCAAACCCAACCAGCAATACTGTGTAACAAAAGGCCTAGCAACCTGCTTTCATTAAAATTATAATCAAGAAAACGCTATGGAGCCGTTCTACTCTGCAACACATGGAGTCACCATGAGTCAGAACTGACTCAACAGCAAGTAACAACAACAAAGCAATGTACAGTAAGAATGTTCATTATTTCATTGTTTACAATAGTGAGAAACCATCAGTAATCTAAATTCCCATCAAAAGAAAACAGGGTAATACAGCAACACCATGCTGTGTAATACCATGCAAACATTAAAATCAATGAGGTGATGTACACATACTCATTCCAAGTCATTCTCTTAAATGACAAAATTCAAGTGCCCAAGTAGTATATAGTTTATGACTGAAAACATGTAAAAATTCTTAATAGTACACACAATTATAAGTATATAAGTACACGTATATATATAAAAGTTTATATAAGTATACACATAAACAAGACATATTCTTTTGTTGTTAGGTGCTGTCAAGTTGTTTTCAACTTATAGCCACCCCACGTGACAGAGCCGAACTGTCCCAGAGGGTTTCCTAGCCTTTAATCTTTACGGAAGCAGATCACCAGGTCTTTCTCCCACAGAGCTGCTGTGTGGTTTCAACTGCCAACCTTTTAGTTGGCAGCCAAGCATTTAACAACCACATGTATAGTCAAAGAACAGGACTGGATGGAGACCCAAACTATTCATATTTGTTACTTTTAGACCGGTAGCTGGGCAGGAAAGAACAGGCGATATTGTCCGTTTCTATAAATACTTGTTTGCTTAAATCTCTTATATGCAAATGTATCATTTGAGTCATTAAAAATATGAAAATCAAAACAAGAATAATTGGCTGTGACTTTATTTATTGAATATGGGGTTAAGAAGGGACAAATTTAGCACTGGCAATATCCGTACTGTCAATGTTTTATCAAAGAATTGAACCTTCAGCTGTCTCCTGCCAAAACAATGACAAAAATCAGGTTGGGAAAATTTTTTTTCATAGAGGACCATTTGCAGGTCAATTAGCCCATTTATTCTACTGGATAATTCCAGCTTTATTCCTGGGTAAAGTCAGACTACCAGAAGTCTCCACCGTCAAACGAAACTGTTTTTGAGTAATTTTTTTCCAACTGAGTTTTGCTTTGCCATTATCCCCTTAGCTTACTCTGAAAAATTTTAAAGACCCAAGAGCAATGCAATGTTTACTTCCCCTAAAGACCTGGTTTGCTTTCTCCTCACAGACATTGCAAATCATGTAACTTTTCACGTTTTTCTTGTTACTATGATGGTTCAAGTTGTGTGTCAACTTGGCTGGGCCATAATTCTCAGTGGTTTGGCAGTTATGATATAGTTTGGCAGTTGTATGATGTTGTGATCACTTCCATGATGAAATTTGATATAATGTGATCACCTCCATGATGGGATCTGCTGTGAGTAGCCCATAAGTTGAAAGGGAGTTCCTTGGGCGAGTGGTCTGCACCGAATATAAGCGGACATTCTGGCAAGGCTCGTGGGCTTTTGCTTGGTCTGGATCCTACAGCTAGCTCCTGTTGGTCTGACCTCTAGTTCTTGGGTCTTGAGCTAGCAGCTTACCAGCGGTCTTGCCTGCTGATCTTGGGATTCGTTGATCTTCACAGCCCGTGAGCAACAGCCCTGCTCTCTGACCTGCTGATCTTGGGTTGGTCAGCCCCTGTGGCTACACGAATCAGGAGAAGCCTCTATCCTGACCCACGGACTTGGGACATCCAGCCTCTACAACTGCATGAGCCATTTCCTTGACACAAATCTCTCTCTGTATGTATTTATATGCTTTGCTGGTTTTGCTTCTCTAGAGAATCCAGCCTCAGACACTGACTGCCAGGAAAAGTACACACACACAGCCGATTAATGTAATTGATGTCAATAAGCTATACACCTATAAAACGTTGAATTGGTAAATGCTGTGTGATACATATTTTTACAACAACAAAAACAAATAAAAGCTGTTGAGGCTGCTTATGTACAAGCAAACAGCTTATAGTATTTGGTTTCTTGGTTTGGAAGTTGAGAGTCATGGTTTCATGTGACACTCCAATTAATTGGCTTAATATCACATTTAGTGCTTATGTTTTACCTCTTAGTCTGTTGTGTAGTGTTGGGGTTTTAAAAGCTTGCAAGCAGCCATCCAAGGTACAACAATTGGTCTCTACTCACTTGGAGCAATAGAGGAAAAAGGAGAGTAAGGAATAGGAGGAGGAAATGGAATGTGTAACTGTCTCCATGAATACCCGCCCTCTTGGCCATGAGACCAGAAGAACCAGATGGTGCCCAGCTACCATTAGTGAACATTTTGTTCAAAGAATCTATAAAAGAATCCTGATCAAAAGGCAAAAAATGAGAAACATAATTTCAGATTCTCACAGAATCCAGATTTTCTGGAGCCAGAGGCTCCCAAAACCACTGCCCTGAGATAATCTTTAAACCTTAAACAAAAAATATCCCCTGCAGTCTTCTTTAAACCAAACAACAGTTTAATTAGTAATTAGTAAGAATGTATACCTTGAGGATTGTGCTCTTTTAAGATCTATATGGGATCAAATTAACAATAGCAACTCAAAAGATTAGATAGGAACCTTAGGGGGCAGTGAATTTATATTAATGAGGAAGGAACAACTCAAAAAACGAGGGTGAGAATGGCTGCACAACTTGAAGAATATAACCAATGTCACTGAATTGTACATGTAAAAATTGTTGAATTGATGTATATTTTGAACAAAAACATTTTTTTTAAGTACACACAAATTGATAACTTAGTCAACTCACAGAGTCTTACACAGTCACTCACTGTAAAAATGGCATTGTGGCATCAGACCTAGTCTAACTTCACAAGGGGAAGGAGAGAGAATCAAGAGCAGCATCAGTGCAAAGGCAATTCCTATAAAGTGGAAGTCAGACGTACCTCCTCTCTCCAACCTTTCTACCAATTCTGACATCAGTCATCCCTCCCACAACACTATCTGCTTCTCTGCTGGGTTCATTAATTCACTGCAATGGCCACAAAGAACTCACGAACAATGATACTCAGTCATGGAGTTTATTAGAGAAGTAACAGGTACAACTCAGGATATAGTTCTTCAATCAGGACAGCTTTTTCTCTGGCCATGCTCGCAGGCAGGCCTCTGCCACCAGGCCCTACTTGGGCCTGGGCCTGGGCCTGGGCCTTCGCGCTCGCCTCCAGAGGACAGGCTCCTCTCGGCCTGGCCTCAGCCCTGCTGAGGTAAGTGTTAACAAAGCTCTTTAGCTCCACAGATAAGTGCCTGGAGGCACACCACTCCACAAGGAAGCCTCCTGCGCTGAGGCACTTACTCCATGAGTCAGCACTCTCACTGCAGCTACCTTGCACTGTGTGCTGGGAAGCCTACCGCCATCTCTTATCAATTTCCTGGTTCTGCTGCTGCTGTTTCTCTGCCACACTTGCTGCCGCTTCTCACAGTCTCATGCCTTCTCTGGTGTTATAGCTCTCTCTCTCCTGGGTCTAGGAGCCTCTCAGCGCAGGGACCCTGGGTCTAAAGGACACGCTCTACTCCTGGCTCTTCTTCTTCTTGGTAGTGAGGTCCTCCTCTGCTCTGGGATTGGCTCTCTTTTTAAGTCTAGCAGGATGGCAAAACTGATCAATCCCCTCATTAGAGTTCCATACACCTTATTTGCATGGTCCCATCCCCACAAGGGTTCCAGGCACCTTATTTACATTGTTAATAAGTTGTCCAATCCCCTTGGTGGGCCACAAGCACCTTATTTGCATAGTTCCACGTAATCATTGTGTAGGCATTACAAGAACATGCATGCCTAGAAGAGCCGTATTAAGTAATTCACTGTACCACACCTAATCTATGTTCGAATGTTAAGAACTTTGTATGAACTCTATGGCCTCTGTACCTCACTTCCTAACTTGTCCTATTCTAAGATTATAACCTAAACTTAATTTCTGCCAGACCCTCTTTTTATCAACAGATCCTGTCTCATTCAATCTATCTTTTATAAGCTTACATAAATCCACTGAGAATAAAGGTAAAATAGGTCAAACAAACCTCACCTGTGCCTTGGTCATTTTCTTCTGTTCTTAAGAAAGGACCAGTGGCTCTTGGGTATATTCTGTTTTCTGTCTTCTCTAGACCTGTCTGGAAATTGTGGTAGATACTTCAGGTCAGTCTGTTACCAGAAACAATGATCTCCCAAACCCAGGACCTTCTTCTTCTATTAAAATGTCTTATTCCTGTAGTCTAGAACCTGTGGATTAAAGAGGAAATTCAATTATAAGAAGATATACTCCTGGGAGCACAACCATTGGTCTCTCTTTCCATGTGGACTCACCCCAACATACCACCACCACCACCCACTGCCGTCGTAGTCGACTCCAATTCATAGCGACCCCAAAGAATTTCCAAAGCTGTAAATCTTTACGGAAGCAGACTGCCACATCTTTCTCCCGTGGAGCCACTGGTGATTTCGAACCACCAACCTTTTGGTAAGTAGTCACGCACATTAACCACTGTGCCACCAGGGCTCCTTCATCCTAACATAAGGCCTCGGTATTCCATCTGTCTCTTTAACACCCTGGAGGCTTTTACATCACAAGGCAGTCTCCATAGGAAGATACGGAAGGGCAAGTGGAATGCCTTTTTTTTTTTTTTTTTTTTTTTTGGTAAAGTCTGAAGACAGCAGATATGAAAGAAGAGATGGGAAATCAAAATCAGCTCACGGTCTTGTCCACTGACAACTTCTCACATAGATTAACTTTAGGAAAGACAACATACAGAAGGGGTAGCTCTGAAAACTGCTGTAAAATCACCTGTGCCCATATACTTCTAAAATTCTTTTTATATGGCACTGGGACAATTACCCTAGTTTGAAGACCAAAGTACTAACCAATCATAAGCATGGTTTTATTTAATCCTCAATACAATTCTATAAAGTACTATTATCTCCATTTTACACATGAGTATGCTGAGGCTTGCTGAGATGCAGTATGCTACCCAGGGTAACATCCCTCCTATGTAGCAGTGTGGGAATTTGATCCACATCTGCATCTCTCCATTATTACTTTTCCCTCAGTCAAGGGCTTCACAAAACAAATTTCTTCTCTTTCCCGCTCCCTTTAAGAACTTTACTTCTCAGTGCATCATACTGTGCTCCAGCTGCAAAAATTGAGCCCAAGGAATCAGCTCTTGTAAAAGTATACATACCCAGTCAGTTGTGTCCGCCCAATCAGGAATACAAATGCAGCCCGTCCTTGCCCTAGAAGCAGCAGATCAGAGATCAGTCTTTCCAACAGCCAAGATCTCGCTATGCTAGAGACTCACACTCTGAGAATGCCATCACTGTGAGGTCAACTTGAATTCTGCTTTCACCCCATGAAGCAGCAAGTCATTCTGAAAGATTCTCTCTCTAGCTCCCCTGCATCCTCCAAACCCAGAGAGCTCATCTCCAAATCACTCTGACCCATTGGTAAACACACTGGTGAACATGCATAGCAATCCCATCTCTAATCCTGAGAACACTCTGTCCCACTCCAACCCTTTAGTCTAGCCTCCCTGCAGTGCCAGCCAATAAAAATGGCATTGCGGTAAATGAGTCCCTTTATGTGTCCTTTTGCCTTCGTTCTTTGGAAAAACAGCTTGAGAGATTTTCCCCCTAAGCCCTAAGGAGTTACCTTTGCCCTAGTTTTCTACCCCAGAGTTTGTTTCTTTTATCCAGGTTGATTGACATTTCCTGAGCAAGCTATAAACAACTTGATGGTTTGATACTTCTTCTCTGGCCCCGGGCTGCAGCCCGCCCTGTGATTGGTCTATTTTATGCACCTTGCATGGATTGGTCAATATACTATAGACTATGCGAACGTTCAACAAGGGGATTGCTTAGTTTGTGGCCCTCCAGAAAGGGCCATGTCTTGAAATTGACCAAGGGTTTGCTTATATATGCAGCCAACCCCACTAGAAGTTTCGGAAAGAAAGGAGAAAAGGCAAGAGAGGCAACAAGAGAAAGGAGGTGAGGAACCTCCTAGAAGAGCTGTAACATGGATTAAGAGCTGTAACCCTGAAGACAGCAAGAGAACTGGAAGGGGCCCTGTGGCAGAGTCGGTGGTGACAGCAGAAACCTGCTGCTAGGCATGCTGTTAAGAAAGCTAAACAAAATTGCTACACTGGCTGTCAGCTGGGTCAGTGATCAGTGAAGAAGCCGATGGCAGGGAGGTCAAAGGTAGAGAGGCCTGTCCTGAGGGGATCAAGGAGCCTCTCCTTAGAGAGCTGAGAGGGGGCATGCACACCAGAGAAGGGCCTGCTTGTCTGCAAGACCAAGAGGAGCTGAGAGAGCTGTCCTGCACTTTAGAAGACAGGGATGTGCTTTCCTCTTTGGGGGAGTCTTCCAGACTTTGCCTGTATGCTTCTGATCCTGATCCTGAGTTATAGCTAGCTGATCCTGATCCCAAGTTGTACCCTATTATTTCTTTAATAAGCCACTTAACTGTAAGTATGGTCTGTGACTTCAGTGTCGCCACTGCAATAAATTATCGAACCCAGAAGAGCATTAGAGAGTGCCATGGGGAGGACGGCTGGTGTCAGAATTAGTAAAAACGCTGGAGAGAGGAGGTATGTCCGACCTCTGCCTCATAGATTCTCTCTCCTCCTCCTGAAGTTAGAGGACGTCTGATGCTACTACTACTAGAACTTTACAGGTTCACAAGCTAAATGTAGAGTCCCTCATGGGAAGAAGAGAGGTAGGAAGAGGTGGTGATGAATGAATGAGATGGAAATGAGATCTGGGGTTTGAAAATCCAGGATCCAACCATTTCCCAAAGCTCCTTGGCAGATTTCCCCTCATGTCTAATAGATCTGAACTGCACCAAATGCTCATGCCTGGAACATTGCAATGGAACCACTCTAATTGCTAAGACTAATGTGGAGTTCCTACTGAACTGAAGTTAAGGTCAAACTCCCAGAAAATGACTACCTAAAAAAAAAAATAGAAAGGGGGCGTGGAGTTTAGGTTGGCAACCAACCCCGTCCAAGAAAATAAATTAGTAAGTTAGGAGAGAAAAGCCGCATGACCATTTAAACTGATACTGAAAAACATTTAATAAAATCTGTATTGCTTTTGTTATAAACCCATCATAAGCTAGGACTGCAGTGGCTACTTCCTTAGACTGACTTTAAAAAAAACAAAAACTATATATTTCATGTAGTAAGATATATAAAGTATAACACCATTTGTGTAAAATTTTAAATATACAAAAAATATTATATATTGTTTGTAGACAACACACATTTAAAAGTTCAAAAATAAGCATGAATATAATGTCAAATTTCAAAGTAGTGGTTATTTCTGGCAAAGAAGAGGAAGAAATGGAGTTGGGGCTTTAGTTGTAGCTGTTAACACTTTCTTTCCAAAAGAAAAAGGAAATGATCTAAACCAAAACAAAAACAAAAAATTAAACGTATATGCCCAACTGAGAGCCAGCGCCATTTTGGAAGCACTCCTACGAAACACGGAAAGGGTTCCTATCACCATTCTCATTCATCATTGGTCTGGCCACGACCCAATGCAATTAGAGAAAAGAATCAAAAAACAAGAATAAATACAGGAGAAAAATGAGGCAAATCATCAATATTTCCCCAATATTAAGTAGACTCAGAAAACCCAAGTAATTGAAATTGCAGTTTTATTTGTGTGAAAATGAGAGTTTAATCAAATTGGAAATGACATGAAAAAATGACAGATATGAAAAATGATAACATTCCCTTACATAAACACTGTGTGTTAGTGTTACATAGTAGAGCATTGCCGAAAATATTCTCACATTACGTACTGATGTTTCAATATAAGCATCACTTCTCACCCAACGTTTTGTTTTCATAATTTATACAAAGGAAAAAAAAAGAAAGTAACCGAAAAGGAATATAAAGGTATTATTGAAGTCCACTAATAAGAGTATTAAGGAGTCCTGGTGGCGGAGTGGTTAAGTGGTGGGCTGCTAACTGAAAGTCAGCAGTTCAAACCCACCAGCTGCTCTGAAGGAAAAAGATGTGGCAGTCTGCTTCTGTAAAAATTTACAGCCTAGGAAATCCTATGGGGCAGTTCTGCTCTGTCCTACACGGTCACTATGAGTTGGAATTGACTCAATGGCAACAAGTCTAATAGAGAATTAACTGAATGAAAAATCATAATCCACCTAATGGAATATTATGTAATTATTTAACAGTATAATCCATATTTACTGAAATAAAAGAATGTCCATAATATACACAGCAAAAAAAGCACATTACTTTCATTTAAAAAGTTTTTATATAAAAAAGTAATTACGTATACATAAAACCAAACCAAATCCATTGCTGAGTCGATTTCAACTCATAGCAACTCTATAGGACAGAGTAGAACTGGTCCATTGTGTTTCCAAGGAGCAGCTGGTGGATTCAAACTGCCGACATTTTGGTTAGCTGCCAAATGCATAACCACTGTACCACCAGAGCCCCTACGTATGCATATCACCCTGTATTTCTGCAAAAGTAAAGAAATATCACACACACACACACACACAAAAGTAAATATACCAAATGTTAGTAATTACTGTGGCTGGATATTAAATTGAGAAGTTAAGAGCTCCGCTTCTAACCAAAAAGTCAGCAGCTGGAATCCTACAGACGCTCCTTGGAAACCCTATGGGGCATTTCTACTCTGTCCTATAAGGTCCCTATGAGTCAGAATCAACTACAGGGCCACAGTGTTTTTTTTTTTTTTTTTTTTGGTTGCTCAGTTAAGAAATGGACAATGGAATATTTATAAGTGAAAGGACACGAAAACTTTAGATTTGCTATGAAATTCTCCAGAGAGAATAAGTGGAGGAGGATAAAGATGAATAAAATTGGTCATGAGTTGACTGAGCGAAGGACACATATAGTTTTTTTCCTACTCTTGTATATGCTTGAGAATGTCCTTTTAAAAAAAAGAAAAGACCAGGGCCTGATGAGTGCTATTTAATCTTTAAGCTCAGATGATTCCAATATTAAACGCTCACAGATCAAAGAAAAAGTTTCTCCACCAACTGCACAAAGCCACCAGCATTTCCAATAATCGATAAAGTACAAAAAAGACAACTTTCGAGATAAATGCTTATCCTCTGATTTTCATCCTTGCTTCTATGAGTCGGAGTCGACTCGATGGCAACGGGTTTGGTTTCTTTTCTAATCTATGCATTTAAGGCTATAAATTCCCTCCACTGACTTCTTTAGATGAATTCCGCAAGGGTTGACATGTAGGATTATTATTAAAATGCAATTCAAAGTATTTCCACTATGATTTGTTTGTGCTTACGGATTAATTACAAGCGTATGATTTAACTGCCAAACAAACGGGGGATTTTCTAGTTACTGTTTTCGTCTTGACTTGTAGTTTGATTTATAGCTTGGATGACCTGAAAGTAAACTTTTAATATGAATATACAGTAAAGTTGGAGACAAACTCCATCCATAAAAGTAACTGTATCATAAACAATAAACACGGAACTCCCCAAAAGCAGCCTCCGACACCGACCCCCACGACTCACTTCTCTAACCACGGGCACCCCAATGCAGACAACTCTCCACGCGATACTGGAACAGACTTCCCGACACGTCCCAACGCGAAATCCCAAGAGTCCTCACTGCCCAGGGAACCCCCAAAACGGATCCCGCAAATGATCCTTCAACACGTTAACACCCCCACCCCACGCCATGGAAAACTCCCACTCCTTCCCCCAACACCGACCCCGCCGCGCTCCGGAACACAAAAGCCCCAACGCGATCTCCCTGGCCCCAAAATACACCCAGAACCCAAAACTCACCTAACCGACTACCTCCGTCTCCACCTCTGGAAACGAATCCCGGAACTCACTTCTCTAGAAAGACACTTTCTCCCTGTGTGCCCCACCCCGCTGCCCCACCTCCACCGCTGACCGGACCCTCCGAAGTTTGCGGACGGCGGTCGACTAGAGCCACTTGGCATCTTTCCAGAGTCCGGAATCTGGCCTTAAGGCGTCCCTTTATGACGCAATGTACGCGCGCCTCGGTCGCGGATGCGTGCCGGGAGCGGCCATTTTCCAACAAAACGCCGTACAGCGAGTGAAGTTGTCGTCAAGCCTTATACTTAAAGCACAAGACCTTGAGAAGCAATTGAGAACCGCCTATTGTGCCCTATTTTCAAGCCAATTTAATCACTTTGCAAAATCTGCCAAGGACACTGTTAAAAAACATAAGACTTTGACAAAGAGAACAACTGTTTATTAAGAGCGTGAGACCTTTGCAAAAGGGCGTTTAGTTCTAGATAAACTGCTGTAGGTGTCTTGAAGCAATGTTTTTGCTTATGTGCCATTTTATAATTTCGTGATAAAAAAAAGAAAATATACAGCTTGCTTTTTTTTAAGATTATACAGTAGTGCAGAAAGACAAGTCACATGGAACACACATGTAAACCCTGGCGATAACAGGTCTTGGGAAAAACAAACTTTTAGGCTAAGCATTGTTCTAGGGTACAAAAATCACGAAGTTTAGTAAATCAAAAAGAAAGTTTTATTCGGCATATATTCAAAAAGGCAAGAGTGGAAAATGGACAAGCACACTGCTACAGCCATGTCTGTCCGAGTCCAAGGAATATAACAGAATACACAAGAGTGGGAAAACGGGCAAACACGCTGCGAGAGCCATGTCTGCCTGAGTCGAAGAACGTCACAGAGTCATCAGTATATATTAACATTACAGATAGGCTATATTTTGAATCGTCTTTCTTAACAATCATTGGTACAGGTTTCAGTAACAACAGTCAGGAGGGTCCTCATTGATTCAACAAATCTTACTATTCACTTAATGCTAATAAAGATAAGAGTGGAAAGTCCGTGGGTCTTTTGTGCTGTTTTATGATTTGTTTATGTGAACGGTTCCCTAAAAGATGTTTTCCAAGATTGTCCTAGTTATTATCTTTATACCTCAGGGCCTAGTTGATGTGTCCTTGTGAGTCCTTGTGCGTCCTTGTAAGTCCAGCTCCAGCTGGGTCACATTCTAGGACAAGGAATAATGGCTGCAATATTATCTCCTAAAGCAGCATCTAAAACCAAACCAAAACCCGTTGCTGTGGAGTAGATCCCGACTCACTACCCTCCATTATTTCAAAGTGAGTAAGGGCTTCAGGAAGACAAGAAGGGCATTCTTGCAAGAACAAGGTCTTTAGAAAAACAAAATGGGACATTTTGGGGGAGATTAATAAGGTTGGTTTAAACGGGGTATATTTAATGAAAAAGGGCTCTGGTGGCACAATGGTTAAGCACTCAGCTATTAACCAAAAGGTTGATGGTTCAAACTTATCCAGGCTTCACAGAAGACCTGGTGATCTGCTCCCATAAAGATTAAACCAAACCTACTGCGGTCCAGTTGATTTGGACTCGTAGCGACCCTATGTGACAGAGTAGAATTGCCTCATAGGGTTTCCAAGGCTGTAATCTTTACAGAAGCATACTGCCACATCTTTCTCCACAGAGCGGCTGGTGGGTTCCAACTGCCAACCTTTTGGTTGGCAGCTGAGTGCTTTAACCACTGCACCACCAGGGCTCCTTATTTAATGATAAGGCACCCAGAAGTCTTGGAACATTGTCAGGCTTCTTGGAAGTTATTTAATCTTAACAATCTCCCCTTTTTGACCTCTGATCAACCTTATCACTGGACCGGGCACTGTCTGGTTCTTCAGGTCTTAACATACTTGATCAACTATCCGATAGGGCACATGTGTAGATACTTTTCGTTGCTTTTGTTTTTCTAGTCGAGGGGAGACCAATTCATGCACCCTGGATGGCCGCTTGCAAGCTTTTGTGAGCCCAAATACCACACAGGGAAAGTAAAGGTAGAGAAGGAGAATAGTCAAGAGGTTTAAGCCAATTGTTTGGAATCGCCATCAAAACCAAGTTCCCATATAAGCCAACCAAGAAATTAGGTCCTAAGGAGGGTTAGGTTAAAATTAGGTGGCATCTGCCACAGCTCTGGCATCGGCTGCAACATCATCTTGATAGACTTTCATTGAGTGTCATTTATACAGATACAGCAGCATTTTTTAAAAAATAAATATATATATATTTGTAATGTCAAAAGATAATCTTGATAGGAAACTTAGGGAGCAGTGAGTTTATATTAATGGGGGAGAAACAACTGGGAAAACGAAGGTGAGCGTGGCTGCACAACTCGAAGAATGTAATCAATGTCACTGACTTATAGTAGAAAGTGTTGAGTTGGTGTATGTTTTGCTGTGTATACTCTCAACAACAACAGCAAAACAAATAAAATTATTTAAAAAACGGTTAAATGGCAAACTTTGTTACATATATTTTACAACAATAAAATAAAATAATCTAGAGCTAACCAGTTTTGTAAAGTCATTTCATGTAAAATTTGCAATTTTCAGGAGCTGGTCATTATAGCAGATTGTAACTGTTGTTCTGAATCCTGTAATTTTAAATTAATCTTTTTCAAAAACCATTTGAATCCTAACAATCTTTTCAAATGCATAACATACTAATATTAGATGAATAGAGAATGGATTTTATAATTGAGCAACTATAGAGGGTTCATTCAGTTAAGCACCTTTTAGCATTAAGGTCCAAAGGCCACAGAGAAAATAACGTCCTTTTAAAGCAAAGAAAGGCTTAATATTAATAGCTGTAGAAAGTAAACGGTGATCTGCTTCCGTAAAGATGACAGCCAAGAAAACCCTAAGGGGCAGTTCTACTGTCACATGGGGTCACTATGAGTCTGAATTGACTCGACAGCACCTAACAACAACAATGACAGAAAGTAAATTAGTTTGATTCTATAATTCAGAATACATTTAAGTGGGGCTCTGTAACCATTTAAATTTTAGATGCTTTATCAATTTTAGTCCCATTAAGACAGCAATTAACCCGATGGGAAGAAACGGCTTGGAGGGTTATTTGATTATTTTGCACAAAAGGTAAATAAGTATTTCTAAAGGGGAATAAACTTTGGCATACAGTGCTTGCAGTATGAAAATACAGTGAAACCTGTGAGAACCAGAATTCGATGGGGCTGCCTTTTTTTTCTGGATCTCATAAATTTTCCACCTTTGACAGGGTGCAGTTTTACCACCTTTCTATTGCTCTCTATTAGTGGAAAATATTTAAGCTTTCCTTCTCTGGCAGGATTCAGCCTTACATGGGTTCCAGCTTTCACAGGTTTTACTGTAATAACTATTTTTCCATATGCTAGGCATTAATTATTCTCTATTTTATATCTATTAGTCTGATTGTAAGTAAAACACCAATGTCCTTTTGTGGGCTTGTTGTTGTTAGGTGCCACTGAGTTGATTTTGGCTCACAGCAACCCCATGTGACAGAGTGGAACTGTCCCACAGGGTTTTCTAGGCTGTAATCTTTATGGGAGCAGATCACCAGGTCTTTCTCCTGTGGAGCTGCTCGGTACAAAACGCCAGCTTTTTTGTTAGCAGCTAAGAGCTTAACCATTGCAACACTAGGGCTCCTTAAACGCCATAAGAGATTTATTTTCAATAGTGGAATTTCAAACAGACTAATAGAGTGATAACATGGGCCTTTTGGTCCCATGTTGGTGATAGAGGGACATCAGTTTAAATTTTAGTGTTATTTATTTCTGAAAGTCAAAACGTTTGGGCAAAGTTGAGCCCTTCCATCCCTCCCCAGGTCCAGCTGGAGGGATGGAGAGAACAGAACTTATGTCCGTCATAGGGGCCAACACCATGAGCTGGGGGCTGCCAGCTGGGATTTGGCCACAAGCTTTCCGGGGCAAGGGAGCAGAGAGCCAGGTGGCTCAAGGCAGGCCAGGTTGAACAGAGCCTGGGCTTCTGGAAGGAGAGGGTCACGTCGGGAAAGGATGCAGCTGTGCAGGGCAGACTTCCCAGCCATTCCCATGTTGCTCTTCCTCTGTTGGTCATCATCACCCTTGTGTGTGCCCTCAATTATTTCCGGATCCACACCTCTACCATACCCAGAGCAGCAAGGTTCCTACCCAGCTGCCAGGCAACATGGAGGCTGTCCCTCCCTTTTTACCTTCTCCATCCCCTCCTTACTATTGCAGCCTTGACTATGTTGCCTTTTGGTTATCTTAGCGGGGGAGGAGGGCTGTTATCAGAACATTCCAGAAAAAGCCTCTAAGGTCTCTTCAAGGCCGCTAGGCAAAAGCAGTCTCCAAGGGCTTTTTACTTTTTTTTTCTTTTGCAGTTTTACTCTTGCTTTGCACTGGGTGTTAACCAAACCTGTTGCTATCAAGTCCAATTTTCACTCATAGCAACCCCATGTGACAGAGCAGAACTGCCTCATAGAGTTTCCAAGGCTGTAATCTTTATGGAAGCAGATTGTCATGTCTTTCCCCCATGGAGCGGTGGTGGGTTCAAACTGCCAATCTTTCAGTTAGCAGCCGAGCACTTAACCACTGCGCCACCAGGGCTCTTTCCCACTGGGTGTTACAGGGTGTTTTTAGAGCTTTTTTCTTTTTCTTTTTGCCTTCGACTCATAGCGACCCCATGTGACAGAGTAGAACTGCCCCATAGGGTTTTCTAGCAATTGCTCCCTTAGCCTTTGAATCCATCAGTCTCAGTAACCAAAACCACGTTGCTTTGAGGGTTGATACTGCTCCTTTTTTTTTCCCTTTTGGCCTTTCGGATGAGGAAAAGAATTTTTGTTGCTGGGATTCCATCCCTCTGGGCCTCTGCTGGTAAAATGGCTGACCAAACTAAACCCGTTGAGTCAATTCCAACTCATAGCTACCCTATAGGACAGAGTAGAACTGCCCCATATCATTTCCAAAGAGTGGCTGCTGGATTCGAACTGCTGACTTTTTGATTAGCAGCCAAGTTCTTAACCACTGCGCCACCAAGGCTCTGAAATAGCTGACACCA